TGGCTGTTAGTTGAAGTTTTTGCTTGACGTCTGTAACTGTGATGGAAGTGGTCGAATCGAGTCCCCCTAAGATCGATTAAACCCAGAATATGGTGTCAGAGATGTTCTGTGTTTCTCGATACTGGGGCGTAGGTCGCAATGGACCATATGATTTGGAAATATGGTTGCAACCATACTCAAGTAAAATGTTTGACAACTCGTTAGTTGTTGCTTTTGAATCTTTTGCCTCCCAACAGAGTCATTTTCCCCGTGAACTTGTAAAACAGCTCATGTATCGAGCCTTAAAGAGATCAACTTCTTGATCTGGTTGAAGAAGAACTCTAGTACGGTGATGTTGCGCTGAGGAAGCATTATTTGCGACGAAAGTTACCCTCATTCTAAAATCAGTTTTCAAAAACTTGTTGTCTGAACGAAATGTGGAATGACTACCTACCACAGTCGTGCCTAGGAAGTTAACATGAATCACCTTTTGATACTGCAGTGAATGTTGCCCCCAGCTTGGAAGAGTTGTGAATAGGATGCAAGAAGGCTACCCGACTACAATCTTGCCCAGAATGTTGGTGTGAATGATCTTTTGAGACTATAGGTGAAGGTTACTGCGCACATCGAAGAATGCTTTTGAGATGATTTTCAAGATGCAAAAGTTCATTCGCCTGTTGGATGATGGACATCATTGGGAAATGAAGTAGAGGTTTGACGTCTCAGAGTTGAAGACAGTGTTGAACAGTGCTTCGCTTCCTACAGACGGCGCCAAACTGATGCGTGCTAGAAGATTCATGGTGGTAGAGTAATAATACATCGTCTTAGCTTTGTACGAAGATTGAACACACACTCAGTAGAGAGAAGATAACTAGTAGTAACACCAGAAGTTTTGACGTGAAAAACTCAGAAAAGAAAAAAACCAAAGAGTCTGGCCCAGTTGTGTTGATTATAGAGGCTCCTTGTCCCACAGATGAGAAATGTTTATAAACTCTTTCGAATTACAACGTCAATGAGCAGATAAACTTGTTGCAAGAAACAGAAGACTACTGATAGCGATCGGCAGTTGTCGGTAGGTGGTTGTCGACGGTGATCGGTGGTGGTTAAAGGCAGTTGACGGCGATCGGTGGTGGTCAATGGATGTACACACAGAAGAGAGAAAAAAACTAGTTGTGACACTAGAAGTTATTACGTGAAAAACCCATAAAGGAAAAAATAATGGGATTGACGCAGTTGTAAAAATACATTATATAAGTTGATAATTACAGAAAGTTTTTGTCCCACATGAGGAAATGGTTACAAAGTTCTCCGAATTACAACGTTGATGTGCAGATAAACTTATTGCAATGAATAAGCAACGACCGATGGTGATCGGCGACGACCGGTAGTTGTTGGTCGACGACGTTCGACGACGATTGCGGTGGTCGACGGAGGTCGGTAGTAGTCGACCGGGGTCAGCGGTAGCCGACAGGAGTCTACGAAGGCTGACGACGGTCAACGGGGGTTGACGCGGTTGGCTGGGGTCGACGGCGGCGGGAGTGGTGCTAGACTTCAGCCCCTTAAAGCTTCAAACTCCTCCTTAAGATCACACCCTCTTTCTCTTTTTCACGAGAGAGGTGGAGCTCTATTTATAGGGTCCCAGGAGCAATTAATGCAGGAATATAAGCAACTTTGACCGGACGGTTCGTAGAGGTTCCTCTGATCGGACGGTGTTTAATGGACATTTGAGTACCTTAATGATATTGGAATTGAGTGATCTTGAGCTTATCAGATTTGTCTTGTCTAGATGCTCGATTTAACCATAAACTCATCGGATTCGTCATCTGTTTGACCTTTTAAATGCGTCCAGAAAACTTACAAACATGTTTTAATATCTTGATCGGGGTTTGATTTAACTTGGATTGGATCAATATTAGTACCATTGAGTTCGTCTCGTCGAGCCGGTCAATTTGAATGTATGTTTGCTAAAATCGAAGCTCTAAATGACTCTTATTCAAAGTTGACAATCTCTTGTTTCATAGATTGTCTCAAGATTTGTGTCATACCTCGAGATTCATGTCAGATGTTAGAAATTTTTTGATCGCGTATCAATAATCATAGTCAGGATAAGTTTGTTTGAATTGTATCATTTGTGTTGATTTGTTTGCTCTTTCATGTTGTGCTACATTTAGAGATTTTTGTATCACAGCAAGTTTTAATTCCAAATCTGATGCATGATGTTATAGTATTTAAGATATCTTGATTTAATATGTGATGTAGAAAGCAATGCAATGAACATGCGAAGACACGGATTATTAATCTTTGAAAATTATTCACTAATTTAATGAAAAATTAAAATATTCTAATTCCAATTATGGCAAATGCTTTGTCTTCATTAGGAATTAAGGATTATGAGTTTCGAGCACATGATTGAATGATTAGGAAAAAAGCCTAAATTTTAGCACATCTGATAAATCACGATCTTACTTTAGTAGCACATCTAGTTGTTCAAGATGGTCATGAGTTCAAAGAGCCGATACCAGATACATGAAAACCCCATATAAGAGAATTTCAAGATTTCCAGGCGTAAAATCAAGCTCCAAAGCCCTCACTGAGGGAGATCCAATATGTCAGTGATGAGAGATTCCAAGCTATTTTTGGAAGGCTATATTGAGTAATTTGGGTATTAAGTTTCAGTTTAGTTGAGCAATGCACTGACGGATAAATAATCGAACGAGTGGTGGACCACAACTTTGAAAATCTCTTCAGGCGCTTTGACGGAAAGAACATCCAACAGTGGGATTTAGGTCCTTCCAAAAGAAGAAGAAACCTCTCATGGTCGGGGAGAATGATGTAGGAGCGTCTCACAAAAATCGCATGATTCGGCACCCCGCGATTCCGATCGCTAGATTTCGACAAGTTCTAGGTGGTGGACCACAACTTTGAAAATCTCTTTAGGCGCTTTGAGAGAAAGAACATCCAACATTCGGATTTAGGTCCTTCAAAAAGAAGAAGAAACCTCTCATGGTCAGGGAGAATGATGTAAGAGCGTCCCACAAAAATATCATGATTCGGCACCCTGCGATTACGATCGCTAGATTTCTACAAGTTCTAGGATTCCACACTTGAAATCGATCCCGTGAGGTTTTGCTTGCGGAATCGTGGGTACCACGAATGCGGTAGAGGCAAACCAAGCACGACTCCTTCTCGATTCAACTTCCGCACGATTTTTTTTTTTATTTTTTTTATTTTTTCTATTTCTTTATTTCTAATTAAGGTTTATTTCAGGAGACTGGTTATGTGCTTTGTTTGTTGGTTTTTGAGATTTTTTGCCTTATTTTTGGGAAATTTACATAAATAACACGGAATTGTTATGCATTTACATATCTGACAGCAAAACTTTCATATTTACCCGCATACCACCCTACATATGCATGAAAAAGTGGATTTCAGTTGTGAACAATAGTAATTAGTGGTTGATTTGATGTGATAGGAAAGATATGAGTGATATGCGGGTAAATATGAAGATTTGGGTGTCAGATATTCAAATTATAAGAATTGCATTCTATGTATATAGGTGCCCCTTTATTTATTTTGGAGATGTTTCTTCTTCTTTTTTCTATTTGTCTGATAGGACACAGGTGGTAAACTCTCCCGTATGTTTGGAGGCCACTTTCATCATCCAACTTACTGAAAATTGTTGTTCACAGCAGGAAACCAACTGGTTTCCATTCCGGCTTGCTGTCCAGCAACCCGTACCTCGCTGATTCGTCGTTTGGCTGCCGGTGAACTTGCCCCACCTGCTGTCCCACTGCATATTTCGCTTCATACCACCTTCCAACGCCTCCAGCTGCTGTTCACAACCGGAAACGTCAATTTTCTGTTTCTGGTTCGCTGTCCAGTTGCTGTTTACACCCGTTTTAAGCTGCCCTCCACTTTCTCTATTCGCGTAATCAATCAATCCTACAACTTTTTAAACACCTTTTGTGCGTTATCACATCATCTTGGAACCCTAGAACGATATCAATATCCTTTTAGCTATAGCATCATTTTTTTTGAAGACCAGAACTAGGAATCCAAAGAAAAAGAGGCAGCAGAAAGGAATATAATATCGGACAAAGTTGAGTGATACTCATAATCTTCCTTTTGACTCACTTGTCTTCTATAGAATTTTTAATCATTTTAGAACCTGGAGATATATATTGATGGAATTTGCCTTAAAACCCAGGATGGATGGAAGCTGATCGTTCTATCCTGAGGATCCTTTTATTAAGGATTTGTCTTTTATGAAAGATCCAATATTTTCTCTATTATTGTATTTATCTCATTCATTTAATTTTTTTACTTTATCTCAGATCTCATTATAAATATGGGATGCTTATAAGAGAATTTAAACGATTCATGGATATAAAATTTGAAAGCAAGCTTTCTCCCCAATTCTACTCTTTTTTTGTTGTAAATGAGCCAAGTCAGCTCGTTAACAAGCTCACGAGCCGAGCTTATCGAGCAACAAGCTCAAACTTGAGCTCATTTATTAAAGAAGCTCGAGCTCGGAGCTCATCCGGACTGGGCTTATTGGCTCACGAGCAAGCTTGATTAGCCTACTGCTAGTCATTTTGATAAATTTTCTGACGAGCTGTCATTGCATCCTCCTCTTCTGGCCACAAATACCTCCTGTAAGAATTGTTTTTTTAGCACAAGCCCGAGCCGACTACTACCATTACAAGCTGAGCTTGAGCTCACAATTTTATAGACGAGCCCAGCTTCAACTTGGCCATGGTTCGAGCTTGACTCGACTCATTTATACTCTCACTCCTCTCCCATAGAGTATTCACAGTTTGATTTTTTTAATTATATTTTATTCGTTTGTCTGTACAATGCTCCATCAATATCAAAACATTGTTCTTTATTGATTGATTTATTTTATTTTATTTTCCATTGTTTGGACATAGTTCATTGATATCAAAACTATATACATTTCTCTATAATGTTTTGATATTATTTCATTCCATTTGAGGGTTCAAAGTTTTTGATCTCTGCAGGCTTCTTCAACATAGAAGATGGTGAATGGAATCAAACTGTTATCATCTACACAACATGATGACTTACAATGAAGACTTCTATTTTTCATTTTTTTTTGGTCACTACAAAATATGTCTAAGTTCTCATCAGATGCTAGAAATGGGAACATAACTGAATCTTTTTAGAGATTCTAAAATCACCTCGGTGGTTAATTTCTAAATACCAATGTTTCGGGTGGTCGACATGTAATTATCCCTAATATTTATTTTGAGGGATTGATTATAAGGACCATAAAGAAGGAATCAGTGTATTTTTAGGGATAATTACATACAAAACTCTGAAAACATTGCTATTTACAAAACTAACATCTTTGTGATTTTTTTATGCTGAACCATTGCATTTATGCGCATGTATTGCAGTTTTATCATAAATTTTAATATTTTAGTGTGAATTTGAAAAAGGGATGGAAGAGGGTGTTAGATTTGTCAATAGCAATGTTTAGGGTTATGTATGTAATTGCACCTTTTTAGTATAGGATTATAAACGCTATCTTCTGCTTGATATTATTAGATCAGTCTAGCTTCGGACACCATTAAATTTACATGCATGGCTCGCTTTTTTTATTTTTTTGGCATTTACATATTTGACATCTAAACTTTTCTATTTACATTAATACCATTTGGTGAAAGGAAAGTAAATGATAGTGATTTTTATGTGAAGTTAAAGATTTAAGCTATGTGCATGTAAAATTTAGGAAAAATTATTGCGTACGTACACCGTAGAGATGTGTGCGGTGAACTGATAAAAACACCTCATTTATCAAATGTGTATGTCAGTGGGTCTCATTTTTTCTTTTTAATCTTATTGGACAGTGCACGCTCAAATTGCGTGTGCTGTCCGCACAGAATAATCTTTTGTATTTTTAAATTATTTTAAAAATAATTTAAAGTTATTTTTAAAAACACATGAAATAATTTTTTTTAGAGTTTTATGAGTTTATATAATAGGTAATTAAAAAAAACCATGATTAAATGAATAAAGTGGTTTGCTTTCACATCAATCATTTAGGTATGATTCGTGGTTATCATGCTATTTTGTGCGCCATTCGATCAATAAAATAACCATGATTAGATGAATTTAGTGATTGATAGGCTTTTTTGTTTTGTGTTTTCTGTTGTAGCAATTACATAAATAGCACGTGAACGTGATTATTTACAAAACTAGCATCCTCTTTCAAATATTTTTCAAATTCTCACTAATATATCAAAATTCAATATAGACCCACCAACCAATATTCTTTATTTTTATCTAGTTACCAATGGTTTCATCTTGGCACGCCTAAATGCATTGGCTTTGTGGTTAAGAAAATCACCTGGGTGCTAGTATTGTAAATAATAATGTTTCAGGTGCCATTTATGTAATTATTTGCTTTTTTTTGTGTGGTATGTCTATTTCAATTGAACTACAACATTATGGTGCCATAGCACTTGAATACAATTTTTTATAAAAAAATAATAATTTCTTACTCAAGAACAAAAAAAAAAAAATGTTTTGCTAGTAAGTCAATAGCATTTGAAAATTTACTCATATAAATTCTTATTCAAAAAAATAAAATATTAATATAATAACTTTTTAGTAAGTCAATATACCATGATTAAATCATAAATAAATGAATGTAGTGCTCCTCATCTTTATCAATCATCATTAGCCTAATGAAATGCAATGCTATGGAATTTAACAAATTAGATATCGTTTGGCTATGCAAATAGTTTTGTTCCCAAGTCTCTAATCTACATAATTGTATAAGAGGAAACTGCCACCTGACCAAGTAGAGGAAAGTGTCACCGGAACCACACCGAATGACCACCCTCCTGTCGGTCAACACTTCTTGGTTGGCCACCATAAGCCGACCCTTCCAGGTTGTTGGCCCTCTTAGCATGTTTTTCTAGTTGGTTAACTCTCTTGCCTGACCCCCTTCACCCTCCAATCAGTTGATCCACTTGATCGGTCACCTCTAGTCAGCTAGCCACCTTTTGGTCGGCCGCCCAACTCCAATGGATCTTGCCGACGGACTTTAGATTAGGGTGACGAAAGGACCGAAATATCCTTTGTTATAATGCAAGAGCATAATTCTAATCTGCCTCTCCTTTCTTTTCACCCTTAGAAAGAGAGGACCCTTGGCATGTATAAAAAAGTATCGAAGCTCTCATTCTCAACCCCCATAAAGGGAGCACGCTTCCCTTCTTCTCTCACTCGTAACATTTCCTTTGTGTGGAGTAAAATGAGTCAAAGATTATCAAAGCTCTCACTCTCAACCCCGATATAGGGAGCACACTTCCCTTCTTCTCTCACTCGTAACATTTACTTTGTGTGGGGTAAAATGAGTCAAATAGTTTGGAGAACACATCTCTTTGCCCCACCCCCCAACACAAATCTCTTATTTTCTTTTTCCCTCAGATTTCACACTCTATTCCTTGGGCATAATCCACAGAACAAATATGGATTCAACATTGGTGTGGAGAGCGTGGATGTGTTGCAAACAAGAAGAAAAACATTACGACTTTGGAGAAAGCCCAATAGAGAGAAACAAATAAAGAAAAGAAGAAGATAAAAAATAAAGAGATTAGAAGAAAAGACAAAAGAATAATAGGATAAGAGGAAAAAGACAAAAAAAATAATATGAAGAAAAAAGAAGAACTCCCTCACACTCCATGAGGGATGAGACCCTATAAAGATGAATAAAAAAATAAATATTTGTTTTCTTTAAATTTGTTTTCTATATTTTAAAGAAATTTGGAAGAAGAATGAAATATAAGAAAGTTAAAAGAAGAAAAAAGAAAAGAAAAGATCTATCATCGCTTAGAGGCTCTCATTCGGGATGAGCACGCAAGCTCTTTCTTCAAATAAAATCTCTCCCCACACTCAACCTTAGGAAACCTTCTAAACTCATCTCAATACTCAACTCGAAAAATTCTATGGAGGTGGTACCCAGTAAGAAAGCAATAAAATCTGCAAATGGTACAAAGCAAATCACTACAATATCAAGTTTCAACGATTACCCCAGCTAATACAGCGACAAGATCCGCCTATGACCTAAAGAAAGGTGAGGCTCACCAGAGACGAAGTTCCAACAAAGGCAAATAGACGAACAAGAAGTGGGACTTAAGTTGGAAAAAAGTTCACATCTAAAAAGCTAAAGAAAACTAAATTAATTATATTCTAAAAAAATAGACTCATTACAAGATAACAAAAGTACTGTTCAAAAATTGAGTTCAAATAAATGTTCATGAGACTGTATTGTTTGTACTTAATATGAGTTTTTCAAACTTATCACAACTTTGCCTTCAAGGAGTAAATGACTTGGGGATTTATGTATAAGAGGAAAATGCCATCTCACCGAGCCAAGGGTAGCGCCTTCAGAATCCCACCTGAAGACAACCCTCCCGTCGACCAGCCCTTCCTGGACGACCATCATCAGCTGATTGGCCCCCTCCAGATGGCCGACCTTCTAGGCTGACCACATCTAGCTAGCCGGGCCACCTTTAGCCAGTCGACGGCCCGATGTCAATAGATCCCGTAGGGGGATGTTAGATATGGGCGATGAAAGGACCGAATACCCCGTCGCTTTTATAAAACAAGGGTATAATTGTAATCTCCCTCTTCTTTCCTTTTCACTCTTATAAATAAGGAAACTTGGCAAGTGTAAAACGGTCCCGAGGCTTTCTCTCTCAACCCCTATATTGAGAGCACGTTATCCTTCTTTACTTCAACTTATAATTTTTATTTTTTGTGGAATAAAATGAGTCCCGGGTGGAGGCGGGGAACACTCTTTTTGCCCTCCATTCCATGGGAAAATATTTGCGTACATAAGACGTACGCAGTGCTGCGTACGTCCAGGGGTTATTCAAGGAGTACAGGAGGGTTATATCGGGGTTATACCCCGCTGTAACCCCCCTGTAACCTCTTTGTAAACTACCTGTAACCTACAAATGAGTTCCGCACTTTTGTAATTTCATGGGTACAAATAAGTTACACGGAGGTTATAAGGAAGTTACACGGATGTTACATGGGGTATAACTTGGATATAATCCCCTATATTGCCTGAATAACCCCTGACTGTGTAAGTCTTATGTACTCAAATATTTTCCCATTTCATGGGAACAATCCACGTGATATGTCTGGATTCAATAATAATCAAGTTAAAATGGATAGATGTTCAAAATAGAACTAAACCCTATCAATAGCATTTATCTCAATATATAGTCACGAATTGACAGAGCTCATGGAGAAGAGAAATGGCGAGGCCGAGCATTCACTCCATCCTCCCAACTCCCAGCAGAAAAACCCTAGCAATCGCCTCTCTCGCTTCCCTACTCTTCTTCCTCTCCTACCTCCTCGGCATCCACCATCTCTCCCTCTCCTTTCTCCTTGCACCATCCTCCTCACATCCCTCTCTCCTCCAGTGCTCCATTCCTCCCTCCTCCTCCCCTTCCCCTCTGCTGTCCTCCTCATCAGCCACTGATCTTGATTTCCTACCCCGTCATGCAGCTGCCTCCCTCGTCCCACTTCCACCTTCACACCTTTCCCCAATCCCCTTCTGCCCTGCCAACTTCACCCACTACTGCCCATGCGAAGACCCCAACCGCGAGCGCCTTTTTTCTACCAGACACTTCTCCCACCGCGGCCGGCACTGCCCCAACCCCACTGATCGGCATTATCCTCCCTGCCGTGTACCTCCGACGCACGGCTACCGTGCTCCCGTCCCGTGGCCGGAGAGCCGTCGTAGTGTTTGGTTCAGTAATGTGCCCTTCAAGAAGCTCACGGAGTACAAGGCCGATCAAAACTGGGTACGAATAGAAGGGAATAAGCTTGTTTTTCCAGGGGGTGGAACGACTTTTCCTCACGGTGTGGAATGGTATGTGAGGCACATTTCCAAAGTAGTGCCGTTGAAGACCGGGGAGATTCGCACAGTGCTGGACATCGGATGTGGAGTGAGTGTTTCTGTAGTTGACGCTGCTTGTCTATTTTGAGTTTTTTACATTTATCTTATGTTTTTTTTTTCGTGATTTTTGATGAGATTAATGAATGTATGATCTTATATAGTAAGATATGTTGAATATTAGCCGATTCGGTTGAATTTTAGGAGTGGAAAGTGCTACTTGCTGAAAGTAGAGCTGGTAGAGAGATGGAGTGGGTCAATCTTAATCGACTTAGCTCTTTCAGATATCACACTCAAAACTTCTCAGATAAAGATTGTTGAGATAGTTTTTTTATGTAGAAAATCTTGGTAGAAGTAACTTTGCAAATTTTAACATTATCATACACTGACAATTCTCTACAATTAGTCATTCAGTGTTCTACCTTTGATAGAGACAGAGACACGGGTTTGACACACATCTAACACATATCTATTGCTTGTCCAATTTGAAAATAAAAATTTATTGTATACATTTGTGCCTAATAATTTAGTGTAAATCTTATATATTATAACATAATGTATAATAAATTGTTATATCTTGATAATTTATACTTAATTTTTATCAATACTCTAAAAAACTATTGATAATCATATTTTATTATTGTATTTGGTATTTTTTAATGTTTTGTTTGCAGATGGTTTATAAATAATATGATAAGTATTTATTTATTTTTTAATTCTTAAATATCATTTTTCACCTTTATAATAGTAAAATATTTTTTATTTATTTCATAATTATTTTTATATACGTATCAATGCTCGTATCCTCGTGTCCATCTATATGGTATATATTAACTATCCGTGGAAAATTTGTACAAAAATAATTTACCTTCAAATAATTGGAGAAATTTTATTACAAAAGGCCTCATTCGCTAGTATCTATGCATGATCAACATTGGTTGTATGCAATTTTGGTTAAAGATGGCTATGATTAACAACATAATCCTTAAACTTGTGTGTGCTTTAAATGGTGTGATCTTGCTGTTGACAAGTTCATATCAAGGAGCCTGATCTTTTGGCACCAAAATTAAATTGTTTCAAGCTTATTTGCCCTCTCTTTTTTTTCCTTTTGAGTGAGTGTGAACACCACCTTGCCGACCTATCATAGTTGGATAAAGGCTTGTTGTTGTTGTTGCCGTAAATGTGAACATCACCTTGGCTTTTGAATTGCTGTTGGATTCTTGTATAACGTGGAATTGTGATTGATCAAATGGGAATACTTGATGGCTTATAACTTTAACTAAGTTATGCTCTTAATTTATACAATTTTCTTACTCGATTGAGGAGATTTGAATGAAAGTCTATGCATTTTTGCTTTAATATTCAAGTTTGAAGTGATGCATAATGCTGCATCTCTTGTTTTCTTTTGATTCAAAAATCATAATTATGCTTATATTACCCTCGTCAAATGCTAACGTTAGGGTGAGTATATCATGCATGTCAATTCAAAGAAACAAAGAACTTCATTGATTCAATTTGGCATTGAAGCTTTTTTTTTTTTTTTTTTTGGCAACTGTGGCAATTATTTATAAATAGATTAACCTTATTTTCTTTTGCAAAGCTGAAAATTTGCTTTAGTGGATTTATTTTTTAAATATTGTTTCTAATTAAACAAAGCTCTTTTGTTACAAAGTACAAATATTTCAGGTTGCTCAATTCACATTAAATACTTCTTATTTAGCCTCAAATCATCTGATCTCAAGTTGAATGGACTCCTCTCAAGAGTGACTCAAACCCATTCAATTCTTTTGTAGCTGAGGGCTCAATTTGATCTTTATTCAAGTTAGAATTTATTCATTTATTTTGATTGTAGCTTGAATGAAGACAAAAAAATATTCAGTAAGCACTAGTACTTATGTATGTACATTTATATTAAGAAAGAGATTTATACAATTAATAGTAGAAATATAAAATAACCATTAATACATGTATTCATACATGCATATATAAATTTTGATTCATTCTCATTGTTGCTTTATACAATCAAAGCTTTATTCGAATTAAGTTTGAGCCAAGCCAGACTTATGTCATGTCTCCTGCTTGTTTGCAATTCCAACTTTATTCGAGTCAAAGCCCTTGATCCACCAACTAAATCCACTATCTAAATTCTTATATGCATCGGTAGTTTGTTATTTCAAGAATACGTTTTTAGATAACTCCAAATCCTTAGGAAAATTATAAAATAAATTAGATAAAATATTATCAATCAAGAATAAACTGAAATCAGGCAGAATCCAGAGTTTTTTTTCTTAATTTCTGTATTAAATTCCTTAGTTTAATATTCATTTTCTTTAGCAGAATAGTTAGATTAGGAATATTTATTATTAAGTTAACTAAAACATAATATACGCATTATTATGCATTATTATGCCACCTAAATGGTAAATTAATGAAATTAGTTGATATTATGATTAATAGGAAAATTAATATCTTATGTATTCAAGAAATTAAGTGGGTTGAAGAAAAGGCTAAGGAGATTGATAATTTAGGTTTTAAACTTTGGTTTTCTTGAAGAGTCGCACTAAAAATGATGTGGTGTAATTATATATAAGAGTTTGAAAGATAATGTTGTAAAAATTAATAGAGTTGGTGATAGAATTATAGCCCTTAAGATTATCATTGATACTAAGATTTTTAATATTATAAATGTTTATGCTCCTCAAGTAGGTTTAGCTATAGGGTCTAAAGAGAAATTTTGGAATGACTTAGAAGATTTAATATAAATGATACTACTTCAAGAAAGAATTTTTATTGGAGAAGATTTAAATAGACACGTCGGTAGAGTGGTAGAAGATTTCAGAAATATTCATGGTGGCTACGGTAATGAAGAAGGTAGAGTTATTTTAGATTTTGCTTTAGCATATGATTTTGTTATTACTAATATTTTATTCAAGAAAAGAGATGAACATCTTATTACTTATAAGAGTGGATCTAATAAAACACAAATTGATTATTTTCTTATGAGAAGAATAGATCGTCGCGATTGTAAAGATTGCAAAGTCATTCCAAGTAAAAATTTAAGTATCCACATCGTTTATTAGTTTTATATTTTAAGATTAAGAGTTGTAAAATAAAAAATACTATGACTCATCATTGCATAATTAGATGGAGAAACTTAAAGACATAAATAAAATTATTTTTATGAGTAAAATTTAAAATTTCAAATTTTGGGATATGGGATAAAGTAACAAACATTATTAAATAAATGACAAAAGTTGTACTTGGAGAATCAAAAGAAAAAACTTCTATAATAAAAAATAATTGGTGGTGAATTAATAATGTGCAAGAAAAGATAAAATATAAGAAGTTATGTTATAAAAATTTGTTTAAATGTAAAATCATAGAGAACTGGGAAAAACATCAAACGGCCCGCAAGAAATCTAAAAGAACAATCTGTGACGCTAAAAATTATGCTTTTAATGATCTTTATAATAGATTAGATACTAAGAAGGGTGAAAAATATATGTATAAACTAACCAAACAAAGAGAAAAGAAAAGTAAAGATTTAACTCAAGTAAAGTGTATTAAAGATGAAAATCAAAAAGTACTTTTCTTAGAAAAAGATATTCAACATAGGTGGGTGAGTTACTTTGATAAACTTTTTAATGAAGTTTCTGAAAATACAATCGACC